GTCCCATCAGGCACACAAAGGGATTCCCTCGCGGCCGTCCCATCAGGCACACGAAGGGATTCCCTCGCAGTGGTACGCGAGACTGCAACAGTCACGTACCACTCTGTCCTGATTAGGAATTAGCTGAGTGGGGAGCAGGGGGAGGAGACGGGAGGGTTAGTGGGAAGGCAGCACTTTCAAAAGTCGGCCTCCTTTCCATCTTGGGAAATGTACCGTTGCCATTTGTCTTTTTTTTCAAGTCTTTAAAATTACTTTTCTTCCTTTTCTTACAGTGCCGCACAGGTCCAAATAGTCCATGACTTGTGTGCTAGTGGAACGGTGCCCCAGTGGTTCCGAGCCTCTTTTTTTCGATACTCAAAATGCCCTGCGCGCCAAAAAAAAAAGGAACTGGCCCCTTTGGGCTTGGTGCCGCCAGCCATTTTGCTCCTGCAGCCAACCCCTGAAAAAAAAAGGAACTGGCCCCTTTGGGCTTGGTGCCGCCAGCCAATTTTGCTCCTGCAGCCAACCCCTGAAAGAAAAGGAACTGGCCCCTTTGGGCTTGGTGCCGCCAGCCATTTTGCTCCTGCANGGTGCCGCCAGCCAATTTTGCTCCTGCAGCCAACCCCTGAAAGAAAAGGAACTGGCCCCTTTGGGCTTGGTGCCGCCAGCCATTTTGCTCCTGCATCCAAAGCCAACGCCTGAAAGTTGCGGCGTGCATGCAGCAATGTTGGAGAAAAAAAATGGCAGGGAATAATACTGGTGGGGATTAACCACGACTATCTCGGAAAGCCTCTTTTTCCTCTGGCAGATGTCTGCTGCGCAGCAATCCCAAAACAAACCAGCTAGGCGCTCGTTTCTATCTTTTTGCCAGCCAAATTTTGCCAGCCAAAAAATGAGCTGGGAGGGAGGCACTCCTTTTTCTCTCTTTGGGAGCCAAAAAGGTCTGGGAGGCCAAGGGCAACCACGCTCCCGAAGAATGCGGTGGTGGTGGACACATTCGTTGCAAAAGTTTTCCTGGGAGAGGTGCTGGTGGTTTCTTTTCTGTTTTTTTTTTTCTTTTTCTTTTTCTTTTTTTCTGTTTTTTAACCACTCCCCTGGTGATGCTAGAGGTGCTGGTGGTTTCATGTAGAGGATAGTGCAAATTTGTACAAGAGGATGATGCAATTTGACCAAGAGGGTACGGCGAATTTGAACAAAGGGGGTACCGCAAATTTGAACAAAGAGGGTACGGCAAATTTAAATAAAGAGGGTATGGTAAGGCACGCAAGTGGCATTCAGGAGGTCTTGGGTTCAATCCCAATTGGCCTCATGTACCTTCCTGGGCATGCTTGGCGCCCGCCACCTAGAGATAGCCCGTTGGTCCTCCCAATTGGCATTAAAAAGCAGTCTCTGCTGATGTTCATAGGGGGAGGGGTACTCAGGGAGGCACAGCGACTGGCCACTGCTCGGTCCCTCTGCTACAGGCTGTCCCCTGGCCGGTGCCCCCCAGTGGGGGATCCCTGAAGGCTATCAGGCCACCCTGGGCTGAAAAGGCCACCGTTGTCAGATTAGACACAAGATTGAATTTACCTGGGCTGGTTAGTCCGATGATAATACCTCAAGGCCATCGCCCTTTTACAAAAAAGAAATAAAAAATAAAAAAATTTAAACAAAAAGGGTACTGCAAATCCGAACAAGAGGGCACAGCAAATTTGAACAAGAAGGTAAGGCAAATGTGAAGGGTAGTGCATTACCCAAAAGTTAGAAACGGATATGCCACCCCAAAACCACCACTATGCGCCCCAGGTATATATATATATATATATCGTGTCTGGAGTGTATTTTTTGGCTGTGACAGACCTTTCTTTGTTTCGTGGGTGTTTTGCTGGCTTGTGATGGGGTGTGAACCGACAGTCTGTAGAGTTTTCCATCTGGTGTGGGTGAGTGATAGTCTACTT